CGGTCCCTGTGCTTTGCCAAGCTTGTTTCAAGTAGGTGCTTTAGACCACTGAGCCATCTCTCCAGCCCCGAAGATTTTACTTTTGATGAGGTTAAATTTATCCTTTAAAATTTTTTTTTTCTTTTATTTCTTTGGTACAGGGTCGTGCTGCGTAGCTCAGACTCATAGTGATCCTCCTGTCTCAGCCTCCCAGACACTAGGATTATAGATGTGGGCCACCACACCTGGTTTCAGTGGCTGGCACTGCGCACCCAGGGTTCCTCGGCCAGTATGGCTTGCAGGAATTGAATCTGGGTCCTTGTGTTTGCAAGGAAGGTGCTTAGATAGCTGAATTATCTCCCCAGCCACCTCCCCAACCCCGGCCTTTTTTTAAAGAAAGATCTCTCTATGTAGTTTAGGCTGGCCTTGAACTCTGTAGCTCAGGATGGCCTGAATTGTAATCCTCTGCCTCAGCTACCCAAATGCTAGGATTCTTAGGTGTGCGCCACCATGCCTGGCTTTTGTTTTCTATGATGGGTGCATTTTGTGTTTATAGAACTCTGGCTTGCATGCATTTTGACCTGTTACTAAGCACTAATGATTCCCTAAGGTAGTTTAACAAATAGAGAATGCTTTGTGGAGCTTGTGACTGATGATGGAATCATTTTTACAACAAGAATGGCTAGTCCTTGTGTGTCACAAACATATACTAATAATTTTAAAAGATAGCCATTCCACTGGGAAGGGTAGTTTTTTTTTTTCTTTCTCACTACAGATAACTGTTCTTTGTTTCCAGATATTTATTATATATGGATAACTTCTTATTTCCAAGGTTAATTTTATTTAATTCTCCACCTGCCTTTTGTATTGATAAAGGGCAAAATATATTGTAAATCATCTTGAAAATAGAGAATTATCCTAGAGGGAACTTCTAAAATAATCTGTTATTATCTTTTCTTTCAGTGGTGGGATCAGCAAGTTGATTTTTATACTGCTTTCTTGCATCATTTGGCACAGTTGGTGCCAGAAATTTATTTTGCTGAAATGGATCCAGACTTGGAAAAGCAAGAAGAGAATGTACAGTTATCAATATTTACTCCACTGGAATGGTATTTATTTGGAGAAGATCCCGATATTTGCTTAGAGAAATTGAAGCAGAGTGGAGCTTTTCAACTCTGTGGGAAGGTTTTCAAAAGTGGAGAGACAACATATTCTTGTAGGTAAGAACTAGAGATTTACAGGATTGATTAAAATTATGAACTTGCTATTTCATACCTAGTCTATGGTTTTTTGGTTTGTAACTACTTATACTATATTTACTACCTAGCTAGCTTCCTTTTATACTTTAAATATGTCTTTGCTTATGCAGCTTATTTTTGAACCATGTGACTTGTAGTTAAACAATTTCCTTACTTTTTTTTCTTCCTGTTCTCTAAAACCATTTTTTTTAAAGTATTTTTTTATTGCATATAGGGTCTTACTACACAGTTCAGACTCATAGTGATCCTCCTGTCTCGGCCTCCCCAGTGCTGGGATTACAGGCATGCCCCACCACATCCAGTTTTGGAGACAGGACAGCACACCCGGTGGTTCTGGGGCAGGCATGGCATATGGTAATGGGGATCAAACCTGGGTCCTTGCACTTGCCAGGCAGGCACTTAGACCACCGAGCTATCTCCCCAGCCTCCAAAAGCATTTAATTAGTAGAATTTTTGCTTTGAGTGTAATGTAGTCATACTACTCTTATCCTACAGCTCTGGGGCCAGGTATATTTCCAAATTCTGAATACTTCCCCAACAGAGTCAAGACAGGGTCCTGTAATCAAACACAGCAAGATTTCTGTAACAAAACAGTGGTCACAGTGATCTGAGTAAAGTCTGTTGTCATGTCATGCTGCTCCTTCCTCCTCTTTTTCCTCTTTCTCTTTCCTTTCTTCTTTTTCTTCTCTTTCTTCTTCCACTTCATCTTTCTTTTCTTATTGTTCTTTAAATAACTGAGATTTGGTGCAAGCCTGCAAAATAACAAAACTTCAGGATTTTTTGGATTTCATAGTTGCGGGTGAAGGATTGTGGACCTTTGGGAACAACTAGAATTTAGTTGAAGAAGCCAGTGGTAGGGAAATTAGAAACATCTTTAGGCTTTTTGATTGATTTAAGAGCAGTTGCCTTAAACATCATAATAGATCAAAGAAATTTTTTTTTACTTCCTACCCTTGCCTGAAATTGTTGACTTTAGAGCAAAGCAGCACTTTTATGTTTTCCTCTTTATTGGAGTATGAATTTTTAGAATTTATGATAACAGTCTTTATTGTCTTTGCTTCCCTCTAATTTTAGAGTTGATTGGTTATATATTGTTAATGCTTTTTTTTTTTTTTTTGGTGGAACTGGGGTGTTAATGCTTATTTGAAACATACTATCTTTATCCTGCTCTTTTCTCAGGACAAAAATTACCTTGCATTTTTATCTTATAACTTCATTTAGCTTACATACATTTATTTATTTATTTATTTATTTGTTTGTTTATTTATTTTTTGTGGAACCAGGGATTGAACTCAGGCCCTTGCGCTTGCCAGGGAAGCGCTTATTCCACTGAGCCATCTCCCCAGCCCCTAGCTTACATACTTTTAGATAAAGCGCAGTGAGCTTCAACTAAAGCACTTTAGACATTTGTAGAACTTCTGTCTCCAAAAATTTCATGGCTACATTGCTGCAACCAAAGACTGACACTGGTATCTAGTGGGTAGAGGCCAGCGTTGCTGCTAACGTTGTGCAATGCACAGGACCAATCCCTCTACCTACCCCCAACAAATAGTCATCTAGTCCACTGAAAATGTCAGGTTCCTAAGGGTGAGAAGCCCTACTCCCAAGGGTTAATAGAGTATACATGTTTTAAAGAATATTTCTGGGGCTGGGGAGATGGCTCAGTGGAATAAGCACTTGCCTGGCAAGCACAAGGGCCTGAGTTCAATCCCCGGTTCTGCCAAAATAAATAAATAAATAAATATTTCTAGGCAACCTTCATATCCTCATAGCCTTTTAAAATGTGTGTGTGTGTGTGTGTGTGTGTGTGTGTGTGTTATGTATGTGTTGCTCAAAATTAAACCTAGAGCTTCACTTATATTAGGCAAGCACTTTACTGAGCTTCATCCTTAGCCCTAAAATTCATTTTCAAACTTCCAAATTTCATCTCTACAACTCTTTTAAATAGAATATTTTAAAAAATCAATCTAACACCTTGGACTGATTTATGTTGTTCTTAGTGATTCCCTAAAAGTATCAAGTACTACATTTTAGAAGTTGTTAGTAGGCAAGAGATTGAATTTCATTCTTTCAGTAAACACTGTATTGTGTGCTAAGGGGAGGTGGTACATGTCTGTAATCTCGGCACTCTGGAAGGCTGAGACAGGATTGCTGCCAGTTAGAGGCCAGCCTAGGCTACAAAGTGAATTCAAGGCCACGCTGAACTGCATAGTGAAATTGTGTCCTCAAAAGGCACTGTTCTAGGTGCTTAGGACTTATCAGTGTATAAAAAAAAAAATTCCTTTCCTTATGGTTCTTGTATTGCAATAAATTTTGTCTTTATGCAAACTTCATTTAATAATGTATAACCAGTATTTATAAACTATAAGTGTAATGAGGTGAGCTGGTAGCAGATAATGGAATGTCACTGGTCATTTTTCACAGAATTTTGACTTGTTTCTTAACAGCTCAATACCAAGGTGCAAGCTCAGAATTACAAGGAAAATTCAAGAAATAAAAACCAAAATGAACACTTATGTTTTCAGATAAGGCTAAAATAATGCCCACATGTCTTTGCTCAAAATATTTTTGAAATCTAGGTCTTGAACAATTTTCATATTTAGTTTGTGTGTGATAGAAGAAACTCATTCACATGATAGTCATACCTTAAGTATCAAAGTAATCTAAATTTTGGAATCTAATTGTTAATTTTTTCCAGGGACTGTGCAATTGATCCAACATGTGTACTCTGTATGGACTGCTTCCAGAATAGTGTTCATAAAAATCATCGTTACAAGGTATGAAAACAGACCCATAAAATCTGAGTTAGCGAGAATCTGATGGCTTTCTAGTCCAAATTTTTTTTTTTCCTAGTCCAAATTCTTGACCAGTATTTAAATTCCTGCTAAACAGAACTGGTAGATGGGCCGTTAGCCTCTATTAAATACACTTTGTGATAGAGCATCTACTACTTCTGGAGGTGGCCCTTTACAACTTTTTGGTGGGACACAGCACTTTATACAAAAGTATGTATAAATCATACAGATAGTTTAAAGAATAACTACATCAGAAAAACTAAAAATAGAACTACTGTACCATGTGATCCAGCTGTACCACTCCTTGCTATATCTGCAAAGAATTAAAGTCAGCATACTATGGGATAGAGTTACTGTATAGCTGTGTTTATTGCAGCATAGTTCACCAAGATAGGGAACCAGTGTAGTTGCCCACCAACAGATAAGTGCATAAAGAAAATATGATATATGCCTGTAAAACTAGTAATTGGGGAGGCTGAGGATGGGGGATCGGAAGTTTATTTGTTTATTTGTTTATTTTTTAATTTTTGTTAATACCAGGAATCAAACTCAAGACCTTGTATTTGCCAGGCAGACGCTGTGCTGCTGAGTTATCTGTCTGGCCCAGTTTCTTAAGTTTGAGCTCAGCCTAGGTAACTTAATGACCTGGTAAGACCCTATCTCAAAATTTTAAAAAAGGCTTAGAAGGGTCTGGATCCAACCCCTAGTACTGCAGAAAAACCAAATAAATAAAAACTACAAGAGTGATTTTTACATACATAGTATTAGTCACCCATAAAAAACAAAACTATAATCCTAATACTTTGGGAGGCTGAGGCAGGAGAATCACAATTTCAATCCCACTTACACAACTACTTGGTGAGACTTTGTCTCAAAATAATATATTTAACTCTTTTTATATAGTGTATAATAAAACATTCCATAAAATACAATTTAAAAAAAGAAATACATTTATAAAAAATGGAAGTGTGGGATATGGTAGTACACACCGGTAATCCAAGCTCTTGAGAGCTAGAAGCAGGAGTGACTTTGAGGCCAGCCTGAGATGTTCAGGGAGTTTCAGACGAGTCTGCACTATATAGCAAGACCCTGTCTCCAAAAAAATGAAAACAAAATTGGGAGAAATAAGGGTATGTATTGTTACAGGGAAGGAGAAAAAGGAGAGTAATGGCAGGGTGAGACTCAAGATCAGATGTTACATGAACAAAGACCAAGACAAGTTTTTAGTGGCACAATAGTTCTAAAACAACTTTTGAGAATGGCAGGGAGCTAAAATTCTGAGCCTTTACCAGGCATGGTGGTGCATGCCTATAATCCCAACACTTGGGAGGCTAAAGCAGGAAGATTGCTGTGATTTTAAGCCATCCTAAGCTACGTTCTGAGCTCAAGGCCAGCCTGAACTACATAGTGAGACTCTGCCTCAAAAACAAATTTTTTTTTCTCCAGCTTTGTTTTGTTGTATATCTTTTGCTGTATACATATATATATATATATATATATATTTTTTTTTTTTTTTTTAATCATTCTTGTACATGAGACTAGTGTCTTTGATGAGTAGATTTAATTCCAAGGACAAGAAATCAAAATAATGACTGAATCAAACAGAAAAAAACAAAACTTGTGGCTGAGTTCACCTAAGCAGGGTCTTCTGGTATCTTGAACGTTGATTCTGAGAATCAGGCCGCCTTATAGAGCCTTGAGAGTGAGTATGATGCTGCTCTTTGATTGAACACATTCCAAAGCCAGTTAAAACATACCTAGAGAAAAAAAACAGACCCTACTAAGCTTTAACTATAAAGCTAGTTAAAGCTGTCTAACAACTGGTGTTAGTGTGCATGAGCACATTTTACCCATTACCTTTTACATCTTTTTTTTTTTTTTTTTTCTGTACTGGGGATTGAACTCAGGACCCCGCGCTTGCCAGCAAGTGCTTATTCTACTGAGCTATCTCCCCGGCCCCACCTTTTACATCATATTGGAAAAAAAAATCATCTTAAGCGTAGCTTGGATACTGAGGAAGGGGGTCTTTGAGGATTGTTTCATACAGCCAAGGAAAGAAGTTTGCCCTTTGGGGACTTTTTTTTTTTTTTTTGCGGGGGAGAGTTGAGATAGTTTCATTATGTAATCCAGGCTGGCCTTGAATTCACTATGTAGCCTAGGCTGGCCTCATGGTGATCCTCCTGCCTCAGCCTCCCCAGTGCTGAGATTATAGGTGTATGCAGCATGCCCAACTGTTTGCATTGAGACAGGATCTCCCTATGTAGTTCAGGCTGGCCTTGAACTCACTGTGTAGCACGAACTGGCCCCAAACTTGTGGCCATCCTCCTGCCTCAGCCTCCTGAGTGGTGAAAGTTACAGTCATGTGCCACCAGACACAGCTGAACTAATTTCTAATCTAGTCCTTAGGACTAGAATTATAAAAGCAAAGCTGTGAAGAAAATTAAAGTCTATAGCTAACTGCTAGCTGTGTTAGTAGTAACTGATTAGGACTTGATGCCTTACTTCAGAAAACAGTGATTTTATTGTTATTCCTATTTTAGGTCCCAACTTTAATGTCATGTATTTGTACTTATTAAATACTATTTCAATGGTGAAAAGTATATTAGTAATTAGGTAGGAATACCCACCACCAATCTTGTTTCTTACCTATGGTTAAATCTTATTTGTATGTCTTTTCCCCTCTCATGACTATAAACTTCTCAAGGACAGGTTTAGGTCTCACATGCTTTATACCTCTAAAGTCTGTTGTAGTACTTAGGGCAAACAGACTTTTTTTTTTAAAGCATCAAAACGGGAGTTTATTTAACCATACTCAGCTGATAATATAGCAAGTGGGTGAATAATTCATGCTATAGCATGCTGAATGAACTGAAAACAAAAAGTTGGTTGGAAGGAGGCAGAGGAACTTTGTCTTGTACGAATCACAAGCAAGGGGCTCCATAATCATCTGGCATCTGTTCAGTGTTGTATCTGTGATTAGAAATGTACATGATAGGAACTCCAGGGATCTTCCCGATTCTCCATTTAAGGTCCCAGTCAACTGTGGCCACAATGTAACACTTGTGCTGAGTTACTCTCTACACTAAGCAATTGTCTGCATAGACCCCTTTATGTGTGCAAGGTAATCATTCAAACTGTGGATCCTTGACAATCCTTAGGGCCACTCGATACTTCTGTCTCAATTTTTCAAATTTTTGCCATTATACAATCAGTTATACAAGGGATACACTTGACATACAGACACTCCATCATTGATTGTACCAAGTCCAATTTGGCTTTGATGGAAAAGTTGATAAAGCTGGTATCAACCAGGATATTATAAGGTGGGCCCCGCTATGTATTATACTGGAAGGATAAGCAGAAAGGATGTTGGGGGACTTCTCTTTCCGTTGGAGCACTGGGATCTTTGTTTTTAGGTTTTAATCTATCCTTTTCTTTGAGTCTCTGATCTCTGAGGCTAAGCATTCGCTTCATGGTCGCATACTTTCTGGTTTTCTTTGTTTCCTCATGTTCACGCTGTGGTCCTGTTTCTTCCGGAATCACCCAGGGCACGCAAACGGACTTTTTTTTTCCTTTATTTTTTATTTTAATTTTTTTCCATAATTTTATTGAGAAACAAATAGCAATGAGACAGTTTCAAATCAATTTGGTAGGACAGTTTCAATAATTAACACATTGCATACTCTCTTCCTAGTGGTTATTTGCTGTACAAGATGCGGACATGATATTCTATTTACAAACACCATTAGAACAAATCCCTCTATTCATTAAGAGAATGTAACTATATATCTATCCTAACCATTTTGAATACACAGATACAAAATGGACATTCATCTGTATCCCCTTTTTTGTTTAGTTCCATCATTTAAATATTATACATGTGTTAACTCAGCAAAATATTCTAAAAGAGTCCAGTAGTCCATAATAGTATTGGGACTGGCAATGTGAGAAGTTGTTGACCTGAGTCCCCTACAGCTCAATATAACACTATGACTTTACTTCTTATACTTTGTTTTTATACTTTTCTGCTGGATGGTTAAGACCAAGGTAAAGCAGGACCTATGCAACAAGAGTTGTAGCTTTTGGATCTGATAAGGTCAGTGAAATCCCCTCAGGATTTATCCTGAGATCCTGTACCTCAGATTGTAGGAAACAGACTTTTGATAAACATTTATTAAAATGAAATGTTAGGGGTCAGGGAGATGGCTCAGTGGAATAAGCACTTCCCTGACAAGCACAAGGGCCTGAGTTCAATCCCTGGTTCTGCCAAAAAAAAAAAAAAAAAGAAAGAAAGAAAAGAAATGTTAGGATCAAAGGAGGTAAATCATAGGCAAAACTGATGGTTAAGATTTAATTATGAAAATGATTTCCATCTATTTTAGCATCCTCCTCCTTTATATATACTGTAATCCCACATGATAAGAAAGTATATTTATATATTGTCTCCCCTAAACCGTTGGTACTGATGATTTAACCCCAGACCTTAATACTGAGCTGTATCTCCAGTCCTTTTTATTTATTTATTTTTTTAAGGTTTGAGACATGTCTCTAAGTTGCTAAGTTGCTCAGGCTGAGCTCAAGCTTGTGAGCCTCCTGCCTTAGCCTCCTACCTTGCTGGGATTACAGGTGTGTGCCGCCATGCCCAGCTGCACATTGCTTTCAAGTACAACAGCACTTAAAACTTCTTTATTGGAAAAAAATTACATAGCTCAATAGTAGAACATGTACTTGATATGCACAAGGGCCTGGTTTTAATCCCTGGCACTGTAAAACAAACAAAAAAACCTAGGCAATATATTAAAAACTGCTTTTCCAGAATTCGGTTAATGTAAGAAAATATAAACGTTATCTATCTATCTATCTATCTATCTATCTATCTATCTATCCTGTTGTATTGGCCTTCCTAGAGGCAACCTCAGGCCCTCGTGCTTGCCAGGGAAGCACTTATTCTACTGAGCCATCTCCCCGGCCTAGAGGCAACCTTGATAAAAAAAATTAATGTCTAGCCTAACAGGCAGGGTTTTTTGAGACAGGGTCTCACTATGCAGTGCAAGCTGACCTTTACCCTGCTTATGTAGTCCAGGTTGGCCTCGAATTCACAGTGATCCTTCTGCTTCAGTGCAGGGATTAGAGGCATACTCTACCATGCCCAACTCAACTCAGCGTTTTGGTATCTAGTCAGTCTATTTGAATGGTGTCCTTTGGCTCTTTTCTGTTACCGTGTAATACTAATCTTCTGGACTTTTTTTTTTTTTTTTTCTTTTCTCTTTCTCCACCCTTTGGTTGTAGTCTTTCTGTGTTTCAAGTCCTATGTTTATGTTTTTCTGTCCATATCCCTGCTTTTTTTGGTGGCTCTACAGTTAAATGTTCACTGTATATACTTTTTCTGAAGTTTCTAGCTACTGCCTATGAATCAATCTGGCCTTTTATTTTTGTATGGTGTGTAAAATAAGAATGTTTTTTATATATTTAGGAGAAAAGGGAGGCTATTGCATGATTAATAAAAGTGATAGGAAACTAAATGTAGGGGTGCAGCTTAGTACTAGAACACATTTTAGCAAGCACCAGGCCCTGGGTTCAGCTCCATTCCAAAAAAAAGTTCAGTACTCATAAATAAAGTCTTTTTGGAACCTCACCATACTGATCAATTTGTACACTGTGTGTTGTATTGGTTACTTTTTTCTCAATATTGAGACAAAAATACCTGATATGCAGAGTTAAAGGAGAGGTTTATTTAAAGCTCACAGTTTGTGTTTCAGTTCATAACCAGCTGGCTTCAAGGCAAGGTGGAGTGGCACAGAGGCTGTAATTCATGACAGTGGAAACCAGCAAAACCAACAAGAACAAAATGGGGAAGCAAGCCTCCTTTCCTCCCTTATATTGTATGTGGGCTACCTGCCCTACTGCAGGTATATCCCTCTCTTGCACAGGCTCAGGATATTTATAAAGTGAAGATCCTAGCTGCTGCTGAGTCACTTAGTTAAGCATCTAAACTTCTCAAGTTGATACTATGAATCAACCGTTACAACATCCTAGAGTGTAATCAGCCTCCCTAGGGTATGTCCTCTATACAACAGGATGTAGAACTGCTAAATGACTTAGTTAGGCTACTAAATTCCAGTTGACACAATGTATCAACCATTATATCTGTGGATACTTTTCAACTAGAGAGTGCAAAGTGATATTTTGAACAAGCTGTGTGGCCTGTAAAACCTAAGATTGTTTTTCTGAGACGGAATCTCACTGTGTAGCCCAGACCTGCCTCACACTTGCAGCCATCCTCCTGCCTCAGCCTCTGGAGTGCTGGGATTACACGTGTGCATCACCTGCCTAGCTCTAAAATATTTTATTATCTTGTTTTAAAAAGTGTTTGCAGATCCTTAAGACCTCTTAGGAAGGGTACATGTGTACAGTGTTGCCTAAATTCTGACATTTTTAGAGCACCGCTAGAAATAATATACTTAGTTTTCACTTTTTCTCCTTACAAATTGTGTTCAGCGGCTCACACCTGTAATCTCAGCTATTCAGAAGGCTGAAGTAGGAGGATTGCAAGTTGCCCTAGCAACTAAATGAGACCCTGACTCAATATCAAATAAAAAGGCTGGGATGTAGCATCCCTGGATTCAGTCCCCGGTGACACAGAAAACCCAAGGCTCTGTTGTTAACAGCCTTGTTTTTTTTTCTTGTTACTGAGAAGTCTGAAGCTAGTCTAATTTTTTTGTTCTTCTATCTTTGTCAAGACTTTAAAGACTAATAGTTTTCCCCAAATGGTGGCACAGGCCTGTAATCCCAGCACTTGTGAAGCTCAGGCAGGAGAGTCTCCATAGTTTGAGGCCAGCCTGTATTACATAGTGAGTTCAAGGCCAGCCTGAAGTACATAGCAAGACACTGTCTCAAAAAAGCAAAAAGAAAAACAAAAAAAGTCTAATAGTTTTATTGGGATATATTTAGGAGTTAATCACCCTGGCTACATTTTTTAAAGAAGTTCTTCAGTTACTCATAAACTCATGGCTTCTTTCAATGTATAGATTTACAGCTTTATTTCCAGGGAGTTTCCTTAGTGTATAGTTTCAAATACTATTTTTTTTTCTGTTGTTTTGATTTTCTTCAGTGTTTCCACTTATACTTTTGTTCTCTTATGCCTATCAACTACTCCTTTCTCTGACCCTACTTCTTCATGTAGTCTCTCTTTTTTTACTGCTTTGCTTCAATGCTATTTATTAACTTTTTATTTGAGTCCATATGTTGGGCACCCTATAATTTATATTCATTTCTGTATGATTATTTTCTTCTTTGTCCTCTCCTTCCACATCCCTCCCTTTTTCCTCTCCTCTGCCCTCACCTCTTCATCTTCATTCTTCCTTCTTTTTTCTAGTACTAGGAATTAAACCCAGGACCTTGTACATGCTAGTGAAGTGCTCTACTACTGAGCTCCAGCTCTCCTCATTTTTTCTTCCTTGGTTGAATCAGGTCTCATTTTCTAGATTTTGTTTTGTTTGTTTTTTGAGACAGGGTTTAACTGCCTTCTGTAGCCAGTGCTGCCCTAAAACTCTTGATGATCCTCCTGCCTGACCCTCCAAAGTGCTGGGACTACAGGTGTGTAGTACCCCCAGTCTGCCTTCACTCTGCCTTATTTACATTTTTTGCTTTATTGTCTTCTTTTCCACAGAAAACAAAACATCTCCTGTACACATATGGTCTGAGTTTTTCCTATTTTTATTTCATGAATGGGAGGAGTAAATGCTTTCTTCTGTTAATTTTACTCTCTTCTGTGTAATTTCTTTCATAGATGATGATGGCAGTGAAGTAAGGAAGGTTTGGCCTTTTTTTCTTCCTTCTTTGTGTAGCATTTTTAATTTTCCTGTTTCCTGTTTTCCTTCACTGGCACATCTTTTACGCCTTCTGCTCTTTTGTACAGTATCTTAAGCTCCCCTCTCTGACTGACTACATCCACAGACAACAGGAACTTGTTGGAACAAGTCCTATGAAAGTCATAGTGTTTATTTTTTGTTTCCCAGTAATTTTTTTTTTTTTTTTTGCGGAACCGGGGATTGAACTCAGATCCTTGCGTTTGCCAGTCAAGTGCTTATCCTACTGAGCCTTCTCCCTGGCTGTTTCCCAGTAATTCTGAAAGTATGGTTCATATGGAATTTTGTGGAACCCTTAGTATATGTTGGGGGTGCTCAAAATCAGTTTGTTTCTGTTATCCTCTGAGTGTATTTTGATTTTTTTTTGTTTTAAAAAGACTGAAAGGAAAAAGGTTGGGTAAATTTTAGTTGCAGTGAGACATCACTGTAAATGCTGTATTTTATAGATTTCTTTTTCCTTTGTGGTGTTAGGGGTTGAACCCAGGATCATGTACATATTAAGCACATACTCTGCTACTGCGCTACATCCCCAGGGTTTTGTATTTTATGCTACATGAGTATCATTACACTGATTTCATAAGTGCTTATTCAAAAAAGTCATTTATTCAGACATTCTAGGTGTTATATCTTTTTCACACTTTTCAGTTGGTCTCCCATTAATTCAAAATTTAAACAACTATTTTAAAAATATTTTCAAAAGCTTATTAATTTTGAAAGTTCATTTCATTATGATGATTCAAGATTTTTGATTTTTTTTTTAGTAACTACAATGATTTTTGTTACATCTAGTTTTTATTACATTAAAGGCAATTAAGGTTAAAATATTGGTGAATTTTTTCTGTTTTTTTCACTACTGGAGAGTAAACCCAGGATCTAGCTCTGCCAATGATTTTTTTTTTTTTGGTGGAACCGGGGATTGAACTCAGGCCCTTGTGCTTGCCAGGCAAGTGCTTATTCTACTGAGCTATCTCCCCAGCCCCTCTGGCCATGAATTTTATTCATTGGAATTTTATTCCAAGCCCTTTATTAAATTTATATTTTGAGATAGAGTCTTGTAATGTTGCCTAGGCTGGCCTGGAACTTATCATCCTCCTGCCTGAGTCTCCTGAGTAGTTGGATTTATAGGCAGATGCCACCACACCTGGCACACAAACATAAATTGTATAAGTCATCTTCATCATTGTTTCTTGTTTTGAAATGTATTTTGATATTAAATAAAACTCATTTTTCATTGGTTAGATGCATACATCTACTGGAGGAGGGTTTTGTGACTGTGGAGACACAGAGGCCTGGAAAACTGGCCCTTTTTGTATAAATCATGAACCTGGAAGAGCAGGTACTACAAAAGAGGTAAGATTATTATTATTATTATTATTAGCAGAATATATTTATTGGTTGAAAGAAAGCATCTGTCTAAGAGACAGACAGAAGGGGACCTGAGTGGATTGCCCTGGAATCTGCCTTTTCTAGAGATTTTTATAGAGTGAAACCATGAGGTAAGGCAGGTCTATGATGGAAACCTTAGGAACTCGCACATGACAGAACTATGGTCAACTAATAAGACTACAAGTACGAATTTTGCTCCGGTAAAATTGATTAAATCAGGATCAAATGGGAAAGCAAGTCAAGTAGCAAGCGGGCATGAACATGGAACAGGGGCTTTTTCTGTAGGGGTTGGGTTAGTGACTGGCTTCTTCAAGGTGACTGATACCTCTTTAGAATATGAATCCCTGATGTCCATCTCCAGGGAAGTATGTGGCTTCATTTGTTTACTTTTTTGTCTTGAAGTCTGGTCCACAGCTAGAATGTCTGTCTCTCCCAAAGTTGCAAGGTGATTTTGTCTCCCAAGAATGTTATTTTTAAAATACTGCTATTTAAAACTTGTTGGAATGAAATAAGAATAAATGCATATATCTTTGTTGCATGGAATCCTATTTAAAACTGTTTAGTTTATTAGAATCCTAATAAAACTGTTAATAGTTTTAATACTTAACGTGTATATAGTATTTTTCCACTACGGAGAATTTAAAGGTGGGATAGTTTCTTTAGAGAAGGAAAGAGTTGGGCTGGGAATCAAGCTCAGTGTGGAGTGCATCTTGTGCAAAATTCTGTGTTTAGTCTCTAGAATCACAGAAAATTAAAATAGGAAATAAATTCATAGTAAAAAGCAAATTCAGAATATTTCTTGCAAGGCAATCAACTTAATAAGAGTAAATAATGAATACAACTTATTTTTTTAAAAGTAACTATTAAAAAAACTTAAAAATTAAAAAGAAACTATTGGTAAGTTATTTATTTATTTATTTATTTATTTATTGTGGTACTGGGTATTGAACCCAGGACCTTCTGCTTGCCAGGCAAGTGCTTATTCTATTGAGCTATCTCCCCAACCCAGGTTAAAAATTAATGAATTAGAAAACAGTAGACTTGACAGAAAATTCAATAGTTTCTTAAAGGAAAAAAAAGTCAAATTGATTAAATGGAATGTATCTCTTCTACATTGACTAGATTATCCAAGAAGAAAATTTGAGCGAGTTCAGATATAGACACTAAGTAATGAGACTGGGCTGGCCGGGTGTGGTAGTACATGCCCAGCACTTGGGAAGTTGAGGCAGGAGGATTGCTTTGAGTTGAAGGCCAGCGTGAACTACATAGTGGATCCCTCTGTCAACAAAGGAAAAAAGACAAAAAGAAATGAGATGGAGAAATAACCATAGAACTGTTATGGGTCACTCAGCATAGAAACCAGATCAGAAGCCAAATTGGAATTTGAATTCAAGCCTTTATTTACTGAGCTCAGGGCTGTCAGTCAGTTCTCACACAAGAGAAGACTGATCGTCCCCTAGCCCAGGCAGCAAGGAGTTTTTAAAGCTAAAAAATCACATGACTAAGGGGTCTTTCACAATTCAGCGATATTCGCAACTTGCCTGTGTAGGGACTTGTTGAGCAAGCTGTTTTTACAAGATACATCTTTTTTTTTTTTTTTTTTTTTTTTTGCAGAACCGAGGATTAAATTCAGGCCTTTGTGCTTGCCAGGCAAGCTCTTATTCTATTGAACTATCTCCCTGGCCCCTACAAGATACATCTTAAGCTGACTGTGTGTACAGGAATTAGATTAGGGAGGGGAAAGAGACAGTTATTTGTTACTAAACAACCTTGAACAGAGGGCAAGAACACATTCCTTAGGGTAGATAACAGGAAGCATAAAGGAACGTAATAGTTTTCCATAGTTATAGCACAAAATTCAGTTGACCCATTGGAAGAACCACAGGTAAAAATGGACTAAAAGGATTTTGAAAGACTTACAATGACTGGTTTTGGCTAATGATAGTAGGATACTGTCTTCGTCACTTTCCTGGCACTGGACATAATACTCAACACTACAACTTAATGGAGCAGAGGATCATAAGGACTTTCCCTGCACCTGTGGACATAAGCATGTTTTAGATATTCTATTTACATGGTACATCTGAAAATGAATTACTTTATCAGATAGCATAAAATGCTATAGTTTATTCAAGAGAGAAAATTTGATCAATAACTGTGAATAAGTTTAGTGCTGGTCATGGTGATGCATGGTGATCTTAGCACCTAGGAAAGCTGAGACAGGAGAGTCCCTAGTTGGAACACAGCCTGAGCAACTTAATAGAGAGACCCTGTCCCTAAAAAAAAAAAAAAAAATATTAGGCAAGCGCAGGGACCAGGATGCAATCCCTGGCACCACTTGCTGCACTGGCCAGGGAGATGGCTCAGGGAGCGCTTCCCTGGCAAGCGCAGGGTCCTGAGTTCAGTCCCTGGTACTGCAAAAAAAAAAAAAAAAAAAAAATGTGTATGGAAGAAGGGTGAGCTTGGTGGTATAACTCATTGTTAAGACCCAGGGCTTACCTCACAGTGGTAAAAACATTTTAGAAAATTGTCAGGCCTCCAAAATTCAAAGACCCAATCCAGAAATGGGCATCTGAGATTCATATGCACTTCACAAATGAAGAGATACAAATGGCAAATAAAATATATGAAAAAATGTTCTACATCATTGGTTGTTCAAGAGATGCAAATTAAAACAGTGCTGACATACCATCGTATGCCAGAAAGGGTGACTATCATCAGAAGTCAACCAATAACATATACTGGAGAGGCTGCAGGGAAAAAGAAACCCTTCCCTACTGTTGGTGGGAGTGCAGGCTGTTACAACCATTATGGAAATCAGTGTGGAGGTTCCTCAGGAAGCTAGGATGGGAGGTCCCACTCAAGCCAGCTATTCCCGTCCTAGGTATTTTTCCAAAAGAACTGAAATCATCATACCACAGTGATTTATGTGCACTCATGTTTATAGCAGTGCAATTTTTCATAGCTAAAACTTGGAAACAACCCAAATGTCCATCAACTGAGGAATGGATAAAAAAAGATAGGGTATCACTGACCTTGTCAGACCAAAAAGCTACAACTCTTGTTGCACAGGTCCTGCTTTACCTTGGTCTTAACCATCCAGTAGAAAAGTATGAAGACGAAA